CCCCCCCAGCGTGGGTTTCCGGTTGATGTGGGATCACGACGGCGCCTTCGACTGGGACCAAGACGACATCTTCTTCAGCCTCCACCTCCGCCGCTTCCACCCGGATAACGACAGGTAGGTGGCGAATGTAAGAAATACAAAATTAATTTACTCTCACTTCTAACTTTTTTCTTGTATATGTGAAAGGGGAATACAAATAACTATTTTTCTTAGTTGTATGATACGAACTCTTTTTAAAAACTGTTTTATTCCCTTCCTGCAACCAACCTTTCTTTTGTTTCCCTTCCTCTCGTTTCACTTATTTCTCTTCCTTTATTCCTTCCTCTCTTTCCCTACATCTCTTCTTCCTCCTGTCTTCTCTATCCCTTTCTAAGTGCTTATTTCCTTTCCCTATTTTTTCCCTCTCTTTATCGCCTTCCGCCCATCCCGCCCCTTTTCCTCTATCCACCTATCTATAATTTATCTCCCTTTGCTCCTTCTATGTCTTTCTTCTCCCTTTCCATCCTCATTTCTCTCCCTTCCTCCTTCCTGTTCCACTCCTTCCTTCTCTTTTTCTATCCCCCTTCCCCCCCCCACCCTGCCCTTCCCCTTCTCTTCAACACCTTTTCCGCTCCGGACGCCGCCCTCGACGCCACCTCCGCCAGGGAGGTCGTGATGAACGACAAGTACGACGGGAGGTGGACGTCCGACGCCACCTTCGTGTCCTCCGAGTACTGGCCAGACATCAAACCCGGACAGAAGTTCGAGGTCATTGTGACGAAGGTAAGTCGGAGGGAAGGAAGGCGGGAGGGTCAAGGCAAAGTCAGAACACTTTGTTCCATAATTACAATGGTTCATATTTACATATAAAGGCACAGCGTGAAGTAATATAGAATAAGTAGAAACAATATGAAGTACATTAGTAGGTTTTAGAATAAAATGAAATTGAATTGTCACCTCTTTGGAAACAGGTATTGGTTTGGTTTTGCATTAGAACACCTGATGTTATTGGCAATTTAAAAGATGCTCCTTTAATTTCTAATATTTTGTGGTAGTTCTTCCAGATCTTGGGCCCTTGAGTTTGCCTTTATCTTGAGCAAGTTTCCGTAGCTGCTCTCTTGACGTGTGAATGTAAGAATTTTCGAATATATGATTCAGTATACTTGTGTCTTATTGACATTTTGTTGAACTTTTAAGCGTTTTGATTTTCCTATGTGGCGGTTATGTAGGCAAGTTTATCTATATTGCCTATTGCAACTCTTGCGGCAAAGTTTTAGTTTTTGTGTTTTTTTCTATTTGAGTTCTGTAGGTTAAGCCCCTTGTGTTGGAACAGTAGTGTATAATGCTGACTGAAATAGTAGTTCTAACATCAGTGGGTATTTTGCTCATGTGATTTAGAATATATCCGTGTGCCCATCACCTTGTTGTAGAGGTTGTCCATGTGCGTCTCAGTAGTCATGTATCTATGTGTACTCCTAGATTTTTAACTGAAATTCGTGGTTTAATATGAAAGCCACGATTCCCTCTTCTCTCCCTATTACCATTATCACTCCCACATGGATGCTCACGCGACTCCCTCATGCCGCAATAGTGTCCTCCGGATCCCTCCCCTCCTGACATTCTTCCTGATACGTCACCACCTTCCCCTGGTCCTATATCTCATTCTGTGAATGCTGTTCCTTCTCCAACTTCCATTTCTACTCCTATTATCTGCTGGTTGTTTCATAATGATTTTTTGCAGTTTTCCACGTCCAGCGCTACTCCCCCTTTCTTAGGCAGATATATGCCTCCAATTGATGCAATCGCCCTTTCACCCTTAACCCCTTCCCCTTGTACGAATTCCTACTCTGCTCCATTTGCTCTCCCCTTTTTACCCTTTTCATTACCATTTTGTTATACAGCGCTCTACAACCTTTGACATCTAACTCATTTTTTGCCTAATCGTTAACTCATCTTTACCATTGTTCTAAATGACCTTTGTTTTAACCATTGTCCATTGATTGCGTACTTCAGGATAGATAATTTCTGAACCAATGGTTGCCAGTTCCATGATTTTTTTCAGGATTCACAACTGATACTGAGAATTTGTTTATGATTTTCAATAAGGATGTTTCAGATGATAACTAATTTCTAAATCCATGTCGCGTTTGGGAAATTATTCTAAGAAAGTAAATGAAAATTGATAATTGATTTCCAACATTTTTAAGCACTTTAGGCATCACCGGGGGTAGAGTTATTAGACGATAATTTTTCATTTAATCTAAATTTTCTGATATGGAAATAAGTGTTATGATGACGTTTCCAAAATGATGGGTAGGTGCCGGCAACTATAGATGTGTTTATAATGATAGAAAGCAATTGTAGGCAAGTTTTATTGTTGACTGTTGTTTCTACTCCTACTGGTCGTGTTATAAAAGCATTTGTTAGAAGCTTTGTCCCCTTTGTGTTTTGTGTGACCGTTGAAGCAGCTGTTTGTTCATAAGTGTTTACAATAATTAGCGACGTAGCCAGTTACATGTTT